GCTTCAAGCACCGCCTCTGGCAGTCAGTTCGGATGATATAGAAATAATATTTTTCAACTTCTTAAGTCTTCCTGCTATCTCTGCATCTCCTCTCTCCTCCTGCCCAAGATCAAAAAAGTTGTTTGTGTACGGTGGTAGTTCCAATTTAACTGTGATTACGTTCAAATTAATATTTGTTTTTAGTAAGGACCCTAGCAGGAGAGAAAACGTCACAATGTTACGAGAAAGCAGTTCAAATGATACAATTGTTGCAACGGGGATTTCCCCCCCCCCCAAGAATAAAATATGTATTTTGATGAGAAGTTAAAAAAGAGGTCACATAAACATAAATGCCATATTTATGGAGGTAATTCAATCTTTTTCAAAGGGTGAGTTTGCACTCTTAAAACCACTAGAAAGATTTGAATGTACAGTAACCGCAATTCACTAATTCAGTGAGTCTGCCTGTAAATGTACAACAAATTATTGACACTGCATTGATGGTGCCTTTTGCCTGAGATAGTTTTTAGCTCCTCGGATGGAGGGGTTCTAAGAACTCAAATTAGAGTTACAAGATGTTTCCTAAAGGGGGTTGGACCCCCCAAAAAAAGATAATTTTACCAACACTATACGACTATTTTTTTATACTGCAACCCCAAACACCTCCTCTTTTAAAAACACTTAAAATAGCTACTTAATGACTGTAATATCTCATGTATCTTATTGACTAATTTACAACCTCGTTCCAAAATGTGTCCCCTGTGACTTTGTGTCATAATGTTTTTCTTTTCCATGAGGGCAGAGTAGTACTTCGGCTACATCACTTGCTCCATCATTTCATGTCAATGATCGTATGGCACTAGTATTATTAGTGTGTCGGATTTTTATTCTTGCTCCAATTGAGCATCAATATTCTCTCATCTTCAAATGAGTGACTACATTTTTAGATGCCACGACACAGTTTTCCAGAGGTGTGGGACATAATTATAAATTTAATATCAATACAAATGTAAGACATTTTGCCTTTTCAAAGAGAATGACCTTAATATCAAAAGATAATCATGGCAAGATGCAGTACAGTTATAATAGTCCATCCATCCATTTTCAAATCTGCTTAATCCTCACAAGGGTTGCGGACGTGTTGGAGCCTATCCCAGCTGTCTTCGGGCAGTAGGCGGGGGATATGCTGAACAATCGCAGGGCACAGATAGAAAAACCAAAGCTATTCACACTCACACCTAGCGACAATTTAGAGTGTTCCATTAACATGCCGTGCATGTTTTTGGAATGTGGGAGGTAAAACAGTAAATTAATTATTTAGGCTCTATTGGGTTGCACCAGAGCAATCATGCACTGGGCGAGCAGTTTTTATTTTTCGCCTTTTTTACATTTATTTAAAACCCTAATAGAGTTCTAAACATGGGACAAAATGATACACTACCTCTTTCTTCAAGAGAAAAGCAAGTCCAAAATGTTCTTTGCAATAATATGTTCTATGTCCGCCCACTAAAATAAACACGGTATTCTGATTAATATTGCGTTGGTGAGATAAGAATTCAGCAGATTAATGATCCCACTCAGGGGGCAGCCATTTTGACATTCCACCACCCTCTGCTATCAACTAAAATAGATTTCAAAGTGTCCTGGGTTTGGTCACTTGACATTTGCAATGCGAGCAGGAGGGCGCGTTGATGTCAATTTCTGCAAATGGCAGAATGTCAAAATGGCTGCAGAAAACTGGTATAATCTGCTTTATTCTTAATCCGTTTGGATGGGCACATAGAAAATACAATTGCAAAGGGAATTTTTGACTTCAGTTTCTCTTTCAGATATATATTCACGATTATACACTGTAGTTTCTTTTGTTTTTCTTAATCATTGTAAAGGCTGAATCACATCTCATTTAGCTGGCATTGGGCCCAAACCTCTGCTGTCCAAATTTTAATCAGTTTCATATTTTTTCGCAACTCTATACTTTTGGTCAGTCCCTATTTGGCTCTGCTATTTTCACAAAATATTGATCAATGTAAAGTGTTGAAATTGGCTTGCTTTCTTCAATGATGCATTGCTATTGGCTCAACAAACAATTTTCTTGGTGGGGGGAACGGTTCTTGGAGAGTGATGGTTTTGGAGATGTGAGGGTTCCACCTGATGCCAGTGATTTTAGAGTGTTGGTGTACCTAATGAAGCGTCTGTTGGTGGATTGTGTCCAATAAATAACCCCTTTGCATGTCAAATATTTCCTTACTGAGCCTCCTACAATACAGTATATTGCATGAACCATGACCGCCTGATCCCCTCAAAACCTCCACCTTTCTCGTCACCATTTTATTTTGTTTCTATTATCTTTGAAGAAACCATGTTTATGCTGTCTTCTCTCTCTTCCAGTAGGAGTTGGCCCTCACCAGAGGAGATGTAGGCCAATGCACCTAGCCAAGCCATACCAACTGGCGCAGAAACTGTCACTCCCTGGTGGACGTGTGTGTCTTCAAGAAACCACCCCTCCTGGCTTTTCCTCCTCTGTGTCCAGCTCCTCCTCTTCACTGTCCGAACCACTCAGCGCTACCTGCAGGCGTCAGCTGCAACGGCGCAACCCTGTCATCCCGGACACGGTTAAACTGCCTCCGGGTGTCCTCCCCCAGCCCGCAAGCTTGGGTCCAAGACGGGCTTCCTGCCCGCATGAAAAGCGTCCTTTTTACTTCCTGGTGAGGAGAAGGGAGCAACCGGGCCGCCGTAAAGACAGCACCCAGTCCCTCTACATCGACAGGCCCGAGTGTGACCTGTTGACCCATTTCTCCTCCTGCCCACCTTCCACTTCCTCCTCCTCCTCGTCCATCTCCATGGCGGCACAGTGTCCTCCACACCAGTGCAACGAGATGCCAGCCTTGGAGGACCATAGACGCTCTTCAGACCCAGACATACTTTACATGGACAATGATGTCTGACCAGGACGAAGAACTTGGTTGATTTGGGAGTTAATAGCCTTTACAATCTGTAGAGGCGAATTGACAGTAAATATAACTGGACATGTTGCCATGCACCTTTTTGTAACATTTTTTTCAATAGTGTACTTATTGTTTGGTCAGGACTGAGTTTGCGTCGCTTCCCGAATGGTGGACCAGCAAATGCCCCCCCCCCTTCCCGCCCCCAATCATTTGTGCTAATTTAAGCTCCCTGTTGCACTTTGTCATTTCTTAGTTCTCTGAATGAAAAAGTGAGGCCAACATGCTCACTGAAAAATACTAGATTGTGCCTTAATGATAGAAAATTTCTGTTTTTATTGACTTGTAAATGCAGGGGTGGGGAACCTGTGTCCCACAAGAGTATTGCAATTCTAAAAACATAATGAAAAGTCAGAACATATTTACCCAACAAATCATAAGATTGAGCTTTTTTGCCATCCTCGCATTATATTTCTTTCTTTAAAATTCTGCATAGCCCACAGAAGACTTAAAAATCTAAACGGAAAGGCCCCAACAGGAGTCACCGATGATGTAACAGTTAGATTGAGCATGAATGGTTATCTATCTCCATGTGCCCTGTGAGTGGTTGGCGACGAGTTCAGATTATATATGTAGTCTGCTTTTTGCCTCAAGTCGGCTGGATGGATGGCCCCCAAAGGGATAGAGATTCCCCACGTGTTAGCTCACCTGTTTTGTTTGGTTTTGTTTTGTTTTTTGCGGGGGAGAGATGTCTCACTCTTCTTGATTTGTACGAAACCTGTTGATGTTGTGACCAATTGTACAGGTGTCTTATCACATCGTCTACTCGACCTGCTGGACAACAAACATCAGCTAGAAAGTTGTTGCCCTCATGTAGCAACAGGAGACGCAAGCAGCACATGCCACTTTTTCCTTTAAAAAGAAAAAGAAAAAACAAACAACACCAAGAGGAAAGAACCACACCACGATGTAGATGACTTTACTTTCCTACAATGAATGTTGCTTCACTTCAGAATGAGAAATGTTCTGCCGCAGCGTCCTGTTGGCCAACTTCGATTTAATACTAATGCTCTTCTCTGACTGCTGTTGAATGATGTATTCTTTGAACTTGACAGAGAAGTCATGTATTAAGAGAGTGTAAGGTTGGGACTGAATGGCATCAAATGTAATGGCTATTAGTATTAACATGACAATACAGAACATGATGTGTGTACCATCTGCCACTGCTGCTGTGTATTTTGATTAGGTCGGTCGTCTTGCACTTTATAAAACGCACAACCAGATGAAGTGTTGGTGGAGAGACGTCACGATCCAGCCAGATCAACAATTATGTAATTAAGGTAAAATCAAGTAAATGATCTGTTCTATGCGCCTTCACTAGTGTAAAAATGGTATTCTGATTACTATTGCCTTTTGGAATATGATTTAAGCAGCAGAATTCCCCCTTTTTTTTTTTTTTTTTTTTTAGGCAGCCTTTTTTCCCCACTTGGCTGTTGACTGAAACTGACATCACAGTCCCTCAGCCAACATCCAATCACAGCACACTTGGATTTTTTTTTTTTTGCTTGGTCATGTGACGTTTTCAAACTGAGCTCTGATTGGTCGTTACATGAGCAACCATGATATCATTTTCACGCGCCAGCATGAGGTAAAATGGCTACCAACTGAGATGGATTTAAAGATAGGTGGATTTTGCTGCGGAATTCATATTCCACAAGTGCAATATAATCAGAATACCGTGTGTAGACTAATGGGGCCTGCATAGAACATATTGTCAAAAAATTTTTGAGTTGACCTTCCCCTTAATAACAACACTTTAAAAATAGTAACAAATTGAAGCTAAATAAAGTTAGTTATCCTTTGAAGACACTTGACAGATACTGGAGAGTGAATAAATATAAGTTCCAACGGCATTTTTTATTATACTGTTAATGATAGATTGAACAAAGTCATTTTTCATCTCACAAATAAACATGACAATTTCAGCCTGATTGAACTGCATTTTGGTGTATAGATGTGTAAATGAGAATAAATATGTGAGCGTTAATTAGTTCATCTTTCACTAACGGTTGATACCGCCCTTTTTACGTTACGTCATTCAGCGCGACACCCGGTTGACTTCTATCATGGCTTCGAGATTAGAAATCAATTTCGTCAGGTTATTGTCTCGCTGTGAGTCAATAGCTTCGGAAAAACGAGGCGAGGCTGAATGGAGGCTGGAGAAGGTAAAGTAACACGTCTAAGGGTGAAAATAAAATAAATTGTGGTTTGTTTCACGTTGTATTCTGCAAATTTAGCATGACTGTTGTTAGCCTTTGGACATATAGCCTCTGGGTTAGCCACGTTGTCACTGAAACTGAGCAACCTTTCACCTTTTATTATTCATCTAGCCCTGACGCACTTTTCATGACAAATATTTATTCCAGATGGTGTGCACCTAAATTATTCGATGTTACCGTCATATTTTTTTCAGCTGTCATTCTTGTACAACAACATTGCTAGAAATCATTCGAGATCATTAGATTCGATAATTTGTGAACTTGTCTGTGTCATTTCAAACTATAAAAGTCGAGTACTTGTTTGTTTGCTCTCCTCAGTATGTTGGTGCGTTGGAGGAGATGTTGGTGGCTCTGAGGAAAAGCATTAGGTGACACCATCACACTGCGCTCTGTTTTGGACAACAGTTATTTCACGCATTTAGCCTTTTTTGTCCTCAAATGTTTTCAGTAGTTTTTACATGCAGGCAAATCACCCTGACACCTTTGGCTATAGTTTATTGTTATTTATACAATACAATACGCCTTCGTTTATGTAGCTCTTTCACAGCAGCTGCAACTGTAACATCGACAATTACACAACTGTAACAACTATTCTTACGTACGCCGTGTTGTTTTCATTCACCGAACAGTGTTGTTTTTACTCGCATATGTAAGTAATATCAATATAATACCCAATTAATCAAATGCATTAATGCTGTCAAGAACACAAATACGGTGCAAATTAGACTCATATAAACTAGTAGAGGCGCATAGAACATACTGTCCTAAAGAAAATGTTGGGGTTGACTTCCCCTTTAATAGTTAAGGTTTATATCACGCAATGTAGCTTTTGTGTTCATGTGGTGGTATGCAAAAGGCAAGAGACAGAAAATCGCCGCTCTAGACTTAAATCAACATATGTTTAGGTGTCAAACTGGGATACCTTTTACTGTCGGGGCATCGCTAGTATTTCATGTTCTTATTGTCATCAATATTGTTTACTCAGCAAACCCACACCAGAAGTCCTGACTGAATACACAAGGAAAGTGGATTTTCTGAAAGGCCTTCTAGAAGCAGAGAAGCTGGTCAGTGGCACCGTTTCACCAATTTATCACTCTTTTACCCAGCAAATTGCGTCACTGCTGTTTTCCTTTTAAAATAGTTTTGGGTAATTCGTGGCTCTTCTGTTTTGCCTCACAGTCATCACCAACTGAAAAGGCTCTTGCCAATCAGTTCCTCGCCCCAGGCCGAACACCCACTATCGCCAATGAGAGGATGGCCGCCACGAAAACTGTTCACATGCAGACCAAAGCCCGATTTACGGGGGAGATGAGGGATGAGCTGCTTGGCAAGGTAAGAATGACTGTGACATGAAAGAGCATGCAAAAATATATACAGGGTGTCCATAAAGTCTGCGTACAGGGGTGATGGGGCGGGAACACATGCTTCTGAAAAGAAAATAATTTAAATTGTAATGTTGATAAATAATATTTTCCACATCCATCCATTATCTGATCTGCTTATCCTCATGGGGGTCGCGGGCAAGCTGGAGCCTATCCCAGCTGTCTTCGGGCAGTAGGCAGGGGACACCCTGAACTGGTTGCCAGCCAATCGCAGGACACACACAATTCACACTCACACCAAGGGACAATTTAAAGCGTTCAATCAACCTACCCTGCGTGTTTTTGGAATGCGGGAGGTAACCTGAGTACCCGGAGAAAGTTTTAAGAAATAAAGATAAAATAAAATATAATTTAATCGACTGTTTTACCAAGTGTTTCATCGACAAAATCGAATGAGATCCAAGACACTAGCGGAATCAAATATAATTCTTTAGAATGTTAAAGATGGCAACGCTCATTTCTGAATGATACTGTCAGAGGTTTCTCTGTCATGTTGCTCAATGAGGTAGTTGTAGTACAGTATTAGTTATGAGACAATTCTACACCATAATAACATGAATAAACACACTAATGTTAAATTGCTGCTATGACATTGGCTTCTGTTTGTGTGTACATGCAATGCATGTTGCGAGTGCATTTGCAGTAAGAATAATCATTTCTAACATGTCTACTATTATGACCTCTTTGTCATTACAGGGATTTTCAGACAAAGGTAAGCATTGATTTCAGTTGAAATCCAGTTTCACTTCTTGGATGATTGTAGTTGTCAACTGAAAGACTGTAGATACTATTGAGATTAAATACCCCCCCCCCCCGCCTTGTTTCCACAGAAACAGACTTGCGAAACAGAAGGTAATGTATTTCAGCCGACTTATCCAGATGTAGATTCGACACATTGGAATAAAAGACGAAAAGAAATGTTTGGTTGCCTCAGAGGTGTGCCTTTGGACGAGCGCCAGTCGGCCACAGAGCTGGACGCCATCTTGCAGCACCAGCACAACCTCCAGGAGAAGATCGCGGAGGACATGCTCAACCTGGCCAGGAACTTGAAAAACAACACGCTGGCTGCACAGAGCATCATCAAGCAGGACAATCAGGTACATGTGAAACGTGGTCGAGACTTAATAAATCAGTTTCCGCTCCTGCCACTAGGGGGCAGTATAAGACAATTATCCAATTTCTTACACTGGGAACAAAAATACAGTATGAGCTCTTTGTCAACTCAAGCAGGGGCTGTCAAACATTTTGGGTCCAGAGCTCCATCACAGCAAAACTAGTTACTCTTACGATCTAATGACCTTTATTTTGTTTTATCTTTGAATGAAAGCCGTATTAAGTTGACCTGTAAAGTTGATAGCATTTTTGGTTTGTTTTAACATTTGGCCAAATAGCCAAATAGCCCAAACTCTTTGTGAGTAGTTACGCTCATTGCCATACATTTTTGCATGATACTTATAGAGTGTTGTCTTCCTCGCTCTCCACCTTACAGACTTTGGGCCAGTCGATGCATCAAGCAGACCTCAACTTCGAGAAGCTGAAGACGGAGTCAGAGCGTCTGGAACAGCACGCCAAGAAGTCGGTCAACTGGCTGCTTTGGCTCATGCTCATCCTGGTCTCCTTCACCTTCATCAGCATGATCCTCTTCATCAGACTCTTCCCCAGGCTCAGATGATGAAGTGTCCTCCCCCCTAAAAGACTTCGAAATTCTCCACAGATCTGGATGTGTGATTCAATGCAATATCACCTGAGGTCAAACGATCCCCTTAGGTGGACTGCAGGTCAAACTCTTTTAGCCACTTCCAGCATCATGTATGAACAAGTCTCTACATAATGTGACAAAAGTGTCTTTTTCAACAGTTGTTTTCCGCCTCATACAAACACCTGATTCCATGAAACAATTTGCAATCCGGTGTGGTTTGAAGTTCAATTTATTATACTCCTTGAACGTCCTTAACTGGAGTATTTGCATGGAAATTCACTCACCACACAATTCATGAGGTACAACAGCAGAATAAGATCGAAAACAAGAGAAATATCCATTATAATAATCCTCAATTCATGCAGCACACAGAGGCTTGCTAAATAGCATGCATGTCTTACCTCACAGGTCAGGCTTTCAAGATTCAAATCTTGGATCCAGCATTCTGGTGTGGAGTTTACATGTTTTGCCCGTGCTTGCTTTCGGGGGGTCCCCAGGGGGGGTCCCCCGAATGCTCCGGCTTCTTACCCCATACAAAAAAACAAAACAAAAACGTGCAATTGGGTCCCGAGAAGACTCTCTGTTGTGAATTTACCATTCAGCTCCTTGTCAGTGAAGAACCAATTGGGCAAAAAGTCCTGAAACGGTGACTAGATCGACAAATTCAGAAGTTTCGATTTAGTTGACCTTGAAGGGTTATAGTGCAGATTAGATGGAACTAGGATTTACTGAAAGAAGTGTCCAGTAAGTGTATGTGCAGTATATAGATTATGTCAGCATGTTGTGTTGCTTTATTACATTAAGTGTTCCTCTGAGGATGTCTGGGTGGATCTTTCTTCTGACTGACGTCACATGATGAGTGCATTGTTTGTACATAACAATAATAGCGCATGCAGTGACTTCTTGCGGCCGGCGTAAATCAGGCGTGGTCTCCGGCTAATGACAGATAATAACCTCGGCGATCCCCACCACACGTCCCAAACCGAGCTCTCTACTCATTTGGAAGTGATCTGAGGCTTGAGGTATGGCTAAATAAAGGCAGCTGGCCACCAAGCATATGTGAGCTTTGGTCCCACTTAGGAGGCAGGAAACAACCGCTCTTCAAAAGTCTGATTTTCTTTGCAGGGATAACTTGCTGGAAAAGCTTCCAGAAGGTGAACATTCCTTCTTCCCATCCTGCTGTCAGTGTCATCTCAGGCCTGCGTGGCTTCACTGCTTGTCTGGGCTTGCAGTAAGCATAAGCCCTCCCCGTCACATCGCCTCTACCTCATGCTTGGCTAAGCCCCATCTTGGACCTCTCACCGTTTATTTTAAGTACCCCGGAGGGTGTTTTTTTTCCTGTTTGGAGCCCAGCTATGCGGACCCAAAGAGGTGGTGTCACCGCGGAGGATCATCATCAACATTCAGGTCATCCCATTAGCTCCGACGCACTCCTTATTTTGGCCACGCAGTCAGGGATGCCCCGGCATCACCTCTTGGATTCAGCGAGTCATTTGAGATGCGTCATGCTTGCGTCTGTCTTCTCCAGTCCAGGATGTATTACAGAGTACAGTAATATAGATGTATCTCCTATGTAAAAACCCATTATTATTAAAGGCATAAACTCATAACATTCTGCTAATACAATAATCATTTAATTTTAGGATAAAAGTCCCCCCGCCTCTCAATCAACTCCAAAGTGTTTTTTTGTTTTTGTTTTGTTTTTTTCGAACACATTCAAAGATAAGCTTTGGGTATTGTGTTAACATCTGTAGGAATTGTGACATCCACCCTTTTAAACTATATTCTTTTTCCCGGAAACTGCAACTTTCTCTTTGTGATAACACGTTTTTGTAAGAGTACAAATGTATTAGATTTTTTAAAATGTACTTTTTCTTGTTATATTAAAAAAATATATATGTAGTTAGCATATTCATTTATATATGGTCTTATTTTGTAATATTGCAATTCTTTCATAGATTTAATCCAAAAGCTCAAAGAATACGGTGAAATCAATTGTATTACTAGAAAGTTTAAAACAGCAGAATCTTTGTCCAAACATCGCCACTTTATTCAAGCAGTGACAAATTTCCATAATTTCAATTCAGTTTCATTTTGTTTCAATTTTTCAAATACAGATTTGTTGTTGAATCCTCGTGATATAAAATTTAAGTTTTATGCGCGTACGTTTATTTGTGGATCTCATAGTATTCCTGTAACTTCATCCTCCTAACATGAAAACTTTTTCAAATTATATTACACCTTTATTCTTGCTAACATTACTTTTAAAAGATATATGTTTCTTCATTACTAAATAGCTGTGTTTTGTAAAGTTGTAGTTCCTATACTTAGAGCCATTATATTGGAAGATGACCTTATTTAGCTTGGAACCCGTGTGGTGAGAAAGAGCCAAGTGATATTTAAGAAGTCGCTGATGGTGTAGTGGTACCCTCGCCGGACTTGTGCTTAGGCAGCGTGGGATCGGTTCCCACTCGCTGACGGTGTGCATGTGGGTGTGAGTGGTCGTTTGTGTCTATATGTGCCCTGTGACTGACTGGCGACCAGTTCAGGGGTTATTACACCTTCCCCCCTGAAGTCAGCTGGGATTGGCTCCAGCAACTCCCCGTGACCCTCATCAGGATAAGCGGTGTTGAAAATGGATGGATGGATATTTAATAAGTGAGGGGATTGCCTTGTTTAAATATACACATGAGGTGCTCCGAACGCAATGACATCCAACACGAGACTTTTTAATGGCTGGCTATAAACACCTTAGGCATCATGTCACACCTAACTTGCTTTCGACTTATTTTTCTATTCAAGGCTGCTTTTGCCTTTAGCACCTCAGCGTGGACTGTCGGCGTGTGCCTTTGAATATTAATCGAATCTAATAAATTTTGTCCCGCGACACATTGTTAAGCAAGGGAGTGGGCGCCATCCAAGCCGCCAGTCGTTTTAATTTTGTTTTTGGCCTCGACCTCGCTCAGGATTTGGGATTCCGACAGAGACTGGGATTCTTTCCCCACAAGCACTTCTACTTTACAGAGAGAGTAAATGTAGTAAAGGGTCTGTTTTCATTTCACCCGATTTCATTAAAGTTTCACACGGCCTATAATGTTAATGAACTAATGGGGTTATAAACCCTGCAGTTAACGTGCGCGCGCGCGCGCGCACACACACACACACACACATAAATTGTCAAACTTGCTCTTCCGTAAGCACTTGGTTTAGGGACCAAAAGGAATCAGGGACTGGTAGCTCGAGAGTTCCATTTGCTTCCAAAGCACTGCTGAGGTGCCCATAAGCAACTAAATGCTCTGCAGTGGTGGATAATTCTCCATCGACTTGGCGAGAGAACCAGGGGTCGTTGGTTCAAGACCCACCATGGGTCCAAAATGGAAATCTGGCTCATTGCTGAAAAGATATTGATTTGCGTTGAACCAACCAACTGCTGTGCTGGTGGTACATCCCTTTGGACTTGGCAAGGGGAAGGTTGTTGGTTCAAGACCTACCATAGACTAACTAAGACATAAAAATATCTCTAGCTCATCAGAAAGACTTGAAGACCAGAGGGTTGCAGGTTCAAGACCCATTGTGGAAAAAGAGAAAATTGGGTCTGGTTGTGGGAGCGCTGCTGAATTACTTTTGAGCAGCACAAGGACATTGTTAGAACGTTGAAGATTCCAGTTGGAGACTCCACTTTGCCGAGCACTGCCGAGGTACCCTTGATCAACCAATGGTGGGTTTTGCTTATGTGGCTCGTATGTAAGAAGTTGGCCTGGGATACTGGAAGGTGTCAGTCTGGGGAACTTTTGCATTCAAGAAATGTAGAATATGGCAGTATAAGACAATTATCCAATTTCTTACACTGGGAACAAAAATACAGTATGAGCTCTTTGTCAACTCAAGCAGGGGCTGTCAAACATTTTGGGTCCAGAGCTCCATCACAGCAAAACTAGTTACTCTTACGATCTAATGACCTTTATTTTGTTTTATCTTTGAATGAAAGCCGTATTAAGTTGACCTGTAAAGTTGATAGCATTTTTGGTTTGTTTTAACATTTGGCCAAATAGCCAAATAGCCCAAACTCTTTGTGAGTAGTTACGCTCATTGCCATACATTTTTGCATGATACTTATAGAGTGTTGTCTTCCTCGCTCTCCACCTTACAGACTTTGGGCCAGTCGATGCATCAAGCAGACCTCAACTTCGAGAAGCTGAAGACGGAGTCAGAGCGTCTGGAACAGCACGCCAAGAAGTCGGTCAACTGGCTGCTTTGGCTCATGCTCATCCTGGTCTCCTTCACCTTCATCAGCATGATCCTCTTCATCAGACTCTTCCCCAGGCTCAGATGATGAAGTGTCCTCCCCCCTAAAAGACTTCGAAATTCTCCACAGATCTGGATGTGTGATTCAATGCAATATCACCTGAGGTCAAACGATCCCCTTAGGTGGACTGCAGGTCAAACTCTTTTAGCCACTTCCAGCATCATGTATGAACAAGTCTCTACATAATGTGACAAAAGTGTCTTTTTCAACAGTTGTTTTCCGCCTCATACAAACACCTGATTCCATGAAACAATTTGCAATCCGGTGTGGTTTGAAGTTCAATTTATTATACTCCTTGAACGTCCTTAACTGGAGTATTTGCATGGAAATTCACTCACCACACAATTCATGAGGTACAACAGCAGAATAAGATCGAAAACAAGAGAAATATCCATTATAATAATCCTCAATTCATGCAGCACACAGAGGCTTTCTAAATAGCATGCATGTCTTACCTCACAGGTCAGGCTTTCAAGATTCAAATCTTGGATCCAGCATTCTGGTGTGGAGTTTACATGTTTTGCCCGTGCTTGCTTTCGGGGGGTCCCCAGGGGGGGTCCCCCGAATGCTCCGGCTTCTTACCCCATACAAAAAAACAAAACAAAAACGTGCAATTGGGTCCCGAGAAGACTCTCTGTTGTGAATTTACCATTCAGCTCCTTGTCAGTGAAGAACCAATTGGGCAAAAAGTCCTGAAACGGTGACTAGATCGACAAATTCAGAAGTTTCGATTTAGTTGACCTTGAAGGGTTATAGTGCAGATTAGATGGAACTAGGATTTACTGAAAGAAGTGTCCAGTAAGTGTATGTGCAGTATATAGATTATGTCAGCATGTTGTGTTGCTTTATTACATTAAGTGTTCCTCTGAGGATGTCTGGGTGGATCTTTCTTCTGACTGACGTCACATGATGAGTGCATTGTTTGTACATAACAATAATAGCGCATGCAGTGACTTCTTGCGGCCGGCGTAAATCAGGCGTGGTCTCCGGCTAATGACAGATAATAACCTCGGCGATCCCCACCACACGTCCCAAACCGAGCTCTCTACTCATTTGGAAGTGATCTGAGGCTTGAGGTATGGCTAAATAAAGGCAGCTGGCCACCAAGCATATGTGAGCTTTGGTCCCACTTAGGAGGCAGGAAACAACCGCTCTTCAAAAGTCTGATTTTCTTTGCAGGGATAACTTGCTGGAAAAGCTTCCAGAAGGTGAACATTCCTTCTTCCCATCCTGCTGTCAGTGTCATCTCAGGCCTGCGTGGCTTCACTGCTTGTCTGGGCTTGCAGTAAGCATAAGCCCTCCCCGTCACATCGCCTCTACCTCATGCTTGGCTAAGCCCCATCTTGGACCTCTCACCGTTTATTTTAAGTACCCCGGAGGGTGTTTTTTTTCCTGTTTGGAGCCCAGCTATGCGGACCCAAAGAGGTGGTGTCACCGCGGAGGATCATCATCAACATTCAGGTCATCCCATTAGCTCCGACGCACTCCTTATTTTGGCCACGCAGTCAGGGATGCCCCGGCATCACCTCTTGGATTCAGCGAGTCATTTGAGATGCGTCATGCTTGCGTCTGTCTTCTCCAGTCCAGGATGTATTACAGAGTACAGTAATATAGATGTATCTCCTATGTAAAAACCCATTATTATTAAAGGCATAAACTCATAACATTCTGCTAATACAATAATCATTTAATTTTAGGATAAAAGTCCCCCCGCCTCTCAATCAACTCCAAAGTGTTTTTTTGTTTTTGTTTTGTTTTTTTCGAACACATTCAAAGATAAGCTTTGGGTATTGTGTTAACATCTGTAGGAATTGTGACATCCACCCTTTTAAACTATATTCTTTTTCCCGGAAACTGCAACTTTCTCTTTGTGATAACACGTTTTTGTAAGAGTACAAATGTATTAGATTTTTTAAAATGTACTTTTTCTTGTTATATTAAAAAAATATATATGTAGTTAGCATATTCATTTATATATGGTCTTATTTTGTAATATTGCAATTCTTTCATAGATTTAATCCAAAAGCTCAAAGAATACGGTGAAATCAATTGTATTACTAGAAAGTTTAAAACAGCAGAATCTTTGTCCAAACATCGCCACTTTATTCAAGCAGTGACAAATTTCCATAATTTCAATTCAGTTTCATTTTGTTTCAATTTTTCAAATACAGATTTGTTGTTGAATCCTCGTGATATAAAATTTAAGTTTTATGCGCGTACGTTTATTTGTGGATCTCATAGTATTCCTGTAACTTCATCCTCCTAACATGAAAACTTTTTCAAATTATATTACACCTTTATTCTTGCTAACATTACTTTTAAAAGATATATGTTTCTTCATTACTAAATAGCTGTGTTTTGTAAAGTTGTAGTTCCTATACTTAGAGCCATTATATTGGAAGATGACCTTATTTAGCTTGGAACCCGTGTGGTGAGAAAGAGCCAAGTGATATTTAAGAAGTCGCTGATGGTGTAGTGGTACCCTCGCCGGACTTGTGCTTAGGCAGCGTGGGATCGGTTCCCACTCGCTGACGGTGTGCATGTGGGTGTGAGTGGTCGTTTGTGTCTATATGTGCCCTGTGACTGACTGGCGACCAGTTCAGGGGTTATTACACCTTCCCCCCTGAAGTCAGCTGGGATTGGCTCCAGCAACTCCCCGTGACCCTCATCAGGATAAGCGGTGTTGAAAATGGATGGATGGATATTTAATAAGTGAGGGGATTGCCTTGTTTAAATATACACATGAGGTGCTCCTAACGCAATGACATCCAACACGAGACTTTTTAATGGCTGGCTATAAACGCCTTAGGCATCATGTCACACCTAACTTGCTTTCGACTTATTTTTCTATTCAAGGCTGCTTTTGCCTTTAGCACCTCAGCGTGGACTGTCGGCGTGTGCCTTTGAATATTAATCGAATCTAATAAATTTTGTCCCGCGACACATTGTTAAGCAAGGGAGTGGGCGCCATCCAAGCCGCCAGTCGTTTTAATTTTGTTTTTGGCCTCGACCTCGCTCAGGATTTGGGATTCCGACAGAGACTGGGATTCTTTCCCCACAAGCACTTCTACTTTACAGAGAGAGTAAATGTAGTAAAGGGTCTGTTTTCATTTCACCCGATTTCATTAAAGTTTCACACGGCCTATAATGTTAATGAACTAATGGGGTTATAAACCCTGCAGTTAACGTGCGCGCGCGCGC